AAACCTAGGAAGGTTGTTCCAGGCTTTTTAGGATTTATTTTATTTATCTCTACTCTACTTAGCGTTTTTTTTTTCATTGGACTAAAAACTTAAGGCACTAGACGGATGTTTCTAGTTCTTTCTTTATTTTTATTTTTTTTTTTCCTCGGATACCAATTTGTTCCCATATACTTGTAAACAGTCTGTCTGTGGATGACAATATATATATATAAACCTAGCCAGCTTTCCCTGACGATCCAGCTTAGGTGAAACATGGGTAGGTTTGTCTGACTCACTAGGTGTATCTAGGTCTGCCCTACGGTTGTATTGAGCTCCTTTTAGTTAGTTGTTTACTCGTGTCGGTTTTTTTTCTTTGGGCTTTAAACCTGTATCTGTGTGATTTTTTCGACAGACTTTCATGTTTCTAGCTCTTTCTTTTTTTAAAACCTTTTTTCCTTCAAGATTGATTTGATTATTGGCAAATCAAAAATTCGAAGGTTTTTCGAAACGAGTATAGTTACCTATATATATATATATATATAAATATATATATATGGGGGATGCGTGTGTGTGTGTGCGCGCATGTGTATGTGTATATGTGTATGTATAACATTTAATAGAAAGGCAACTAGTCAGAAGATAGCTCCACAATCAAGAAGTACGTGAGAAGAAGCTGTTGGTGTAGAACTTACGGTTATATCTCGCCATTTCAACTGGAAAATGACGGGACCTTGCCGCAACTCTAGAGAGAAAAAGAAGTTAAAAAAAACAAAGAAAAGCAAAAAAAAAAAACAAAGAGGAAAAAAGAAACAAAAAAGAAAAGAAAATCTAATCAAAACAGAAAGAAGAAGAAGAAGAAGAAGAAAAGAAGCAAAAATTAAATAAAATCCTGAAAGTAAAAAAAGTAATAAAGAAGAGAAAAGAAGAGAAAAAAAAAACAACAAAGAAAGAGAAAGAAAGAAAAACAAAACCAGAAATAAAGAAAACTTTAAGAACAAGACAGAAAAGGGTAAAGGAAAAAAAGAGGGAAAAGAAAGAAAAGAAGAATAAAAATAGAACAAAAAAAAAAAAAAGAAAAAAAGGAAGAAAGAAGAAAAAAAAGAATGACAGGTTGAACGTGGGCGCTAAAAAATAAAAGAAAGAAAGAAATAACCTTTTGTTCCTCTTACAGGCTTTTTTGTTTGTTTGTTTGTAACGGTGGATGACGTCTGCACACCCCAAACAAACTATTAATTGGGCATGTTAGTAGAGAGGCTTACTATCACCAAGATTTACTTTAGGTGCCTTACAAACTACTCATTTTTCAGTTCTCATCAACCAGCCTCATTAATTACTACCTTCTTCTAAATTAAAGGGTGAAAAAATACATTTCTCTTGCTTAGAAAATATGCCCCGTTCTCCATCTTGATTTTATTTGGTTTTCTGGTTCGAGGCAATTGGCGCCACTCTCATAACTCGAAACGTCATCTTTCCCATGTATTTTTTTAAAACTTTAATTTGCATTTTTGCTTATTAGATATCCCGCAGCCCCTTTCTGTAACTTCACTGTCAATTTCTGTCATTTTATTATTCAATTACTCGTTTGGCTCTTGTATATTTATATATTTTCGGGATGTGTGTGGGATGGAATAAGAAATTGGAGACTTGGGTTCGTGAAATTGGCTGCTGCGAAAAATACTCTTGGAGAAAGGTATGAATCCATTACTTCGAATTCCCCCAGCTATGAGTTAAATAACAGGACAGACTGGGCTCTGCATTCTTGGCAACTCTAAATTCAAAATTCTATGTTGCTGTACAATGTATGCAGCTAAATAAAAAATGGTGGATGATCCCGACAGCGGTCAAATTTGATGCTGATTTTTATTTATCCATTTAGTTTTCTAAGATTGATACGAAAGTTCCCAGCGCTATCTATTGTGAAATGTTAGAGAAATCTTAGAAGTGCTTTTGAAATTGACTCTTGGGGAAAGCACGATAACGTTATAGGTTTATGTCATCCTCATAATCAGTCCGATGACCGAGTGTGGAGGTAGGGTCGCTGTGCAGCTGATCACCTAACCAATTGATTTCAGTCCGAAGTCGGACCGACCGTCTGGCCGGCTGATCGGTTGAACTCTCGGGCGGAGAGGAACCCGAACGAGGCTACGCCGACCCTGAACTCGTGTATACGGGTTCAATGGGTATATTTTTGGGCCGAGCCCATGGGCTCGGATATCCCACATTAAATAACCGACCTTGTGTCACATGATGCCCCAGTGGGGAGGGGGTGACTGAATATCGTCAGTGAGTTGGTCTGAGTTCAGTCTGAAGTCGGACGACCAGCTGATTGGTTGAACTCTCTGCCTTCGGGCATGGAGGAACCCGAACGAGGCTACGCCGAAGGGCGGAGTCTCTTTCGGGGAGGTAAACCGACCCTGAACCCGTTTATACTGGTTCAATGGGCATACTTTTGACCGAGCCCACGGGCTCGAAGATCCCACGTTAAACCGGCCTTGTACCACATGATTCCCTCGTGGGTGGGGTGACTAAATACTGATCACCTAACCAATTCCCGGCACAGATCTTGGTTTAAAGCCGGAGAAGTACATAAACCTGGCGGAGCCCGTCCGTCTCCAAGTCGAACCACAGCCGATATCCTTCAACTTCAAGACTCGTCTTGTTCACGGCCCCGTGGTCATTTGATAGCATCGGGAGTACATTCCACCGTGGTTGTTGACTTCAATCTAGGACCCCCCCCCCATCCCCACTGCCTAGCAATAATGTTGATCGTAGCATTAGCTGCATTGATAGCTACGGAGCCCTGTATATTTCATTGTGCTAGATAGCCTTATAAGACGAGTCATCCATTCTTTAACAGATTTTGTTTTTAATCTTGCTAGATGTCTAACTCCCTAACCCAACCAAAAAAAAAAAAAAAACACTAGTAAGTGATTCGATTTAATCATTTTGCAACAGGTTGTATTTTGTTACATGACGCCAGTAGCCCTCGTAGATTGCACACACAAGCATGCGCACACGGGTACACGCACACGGGTGCATACACGCGCCTGAAAACACACACACAAACATGCAAAATGAAATTTAAAAAATCAAACTTACTCTAATAAAATATGCATAAATTATTTTTTAATATAATATAGAAATAACAAAAACGAGACAACAAACAGACAATTGCTGATAGCTCCTGAAGAGGGGACGGAGCGATTTCTGGAGGATCCGTCTATATAAATAACGAGAACTTTCGAGTCAAAATAATGAATATAACATCAATCAATATATATAAATTTTATATATTTGTTTTAAGAAATAAATTCATTTATATATTTATATATATATATATATATATATAAATATATATATATATATATATATATATATATATATATATATATACACTCATATATATATTATTATTATACGTTATTTATATAGAACAAATATTTAATTAAATTCTCTGTTTATAATAAACAGTGATATAATGTTTATAATAAATAAATTTCTCGGAGATTCAGGCAGATAAATGTTGTTA